TAGGAGGTTTTAGAGATTACACAAATGGAATTTGAGATTTTTTTGAGAAGAAGTTGTTTGTTTGAAGTTACACACAAAGCTACACAATGGGCTACCTGTGCTCTGCCCACCACGCGTATCGAAACCCGGATTCTAGCGTTGTAAGTCCGCAGCCATACCGCTGTGCCACTGGTGGGCTTGAGATGAAGGAAAGGAATTCAAAGTTTAACGTAAAAATCACTTATGACTGGAAAATGATCTTAAAAGTACATACACAATAAGTAAAGTAAGCTTGTAATACATTTTTATGCAACTGAGGCCGACGGTAACACTTGCAGGTTTAGGGTAAGGAACGAGGTGAATGACCTCACAATAGTCCACTGCTCGTTTGTTTAAGTAGGGCATGAATATAAGGACAGTTAGACTTTCAGAAAAAACAAGAAACACTGCCTTATATTTGAACTAACATGGTATGCAACTCATGAAAGATTACATCTGAATGATAATGACTTACAATCACAAACCACCACACAACTCTGTTTAACCCTACGTATCTTTACCTAAATTCTCATTATAAAAAAATATTTATGTACCTTTCAAATAGAAATATACCACAAAACCAACATCAACAAGGTAAAAAAAAAAACATCACTAGAAACTATAAAAAAACTTCCCACGCTCTTAGTTTGTTGGGAAGTCTCTCTAAAGACATCGTTCAACCTTCAAGTGTGACGTTACAAGAACTAACCATTTCAAAACTTGTGAAAATTGAAAAATTATGATAAGTTTTTTTAGATCATATTAGTTACTTCCTTTCAAAAGTTGTGAGCCTAGATACTTGGTGGGAGGGGGGGGGGGGTACTATACATGTATATTTGTTAGACATCACCATGAGCAACAGTAGCCATAAAATAGAACAAAAAAAATTCAATGTATGTACTTCAGGTATCTCAATACACTACAAAAACGGAAGTTGAAATTTAAAACATTTTTTTTACTTAGGAAATTAATTAGACCAAAATACTAGAAATAACCACCAGCACGTCAATTGTGTTTTACAGACTTTATCTGGAGCTGTTTGCTGTAGACATCATCAGAACAAGAAACCAGTCTGAAAAACACTAAAACAAATCAGAGAAATTCCACAAAAAATGGTTCACACGGCAGATATACTGTTTAAACCTACGACGAGATGACATTTCAATTCAACTTTGCTTAAATGGAAAATTCGAACTGAAGTTTATTACAACAAAAAACTCACTTTCCATTTTCCTTATCCAGTAAGCAGACAGCAGCTTCAGATGGACATCTCGCAACTGTAAAATAAAAATTAAACTTAGATACACACACACGTTAATACAAAACTCCTACATCAGAATCGGTTTACTGACACACACACACTTTTAACCATCAAATCAATGACTTATTTGTATATATAAAAAAACTACCAGAGGGGCCAACGTATTACATCATATAGAATTATTTCATGTTAAGAACTGACCAAGAAAATATAAGGAATTCATTCATTTACATAAAAATCACGTAGTGGAATTAATTACATTACTGATGGTATTTTTGAGTTTTTTTTGGTGATTCGTGCATTAATGTCTCTCTAACCATGAACTCACTAGAACTTTGATGCATAGATATCTTAGAAACATGTATTTTAAAAGCAAACTAGATACAGTCCTCATCAGTAATTAGATAGTTAACCCCTTAATCATCCATTACCGTAGTAACACTTTGACTACAACAAACCAGAATACACGGGTGGACACTTTGACTACAACAAACCAGAATACATGGGTGGAGATTATAAAAAAGTTAATGACTACAAGTTCTAAAAATATGTTGCATGATGTTTTCTCGTTTGTCTACTCCTGGAATTGTAACACTCGAAACAAAAGAGGCCAAGAAAAAAAAAAATCAAAGAAGCTACTTTATTTACCTGGCTGGTATACCACACTTCTACAAACATTAAGTACGAAAGTCTTCTTGGGAAGCTCGGGAGAGGTGATGAAATAATTGTCAGATGACAGAGACAAGGAGCTCAAGTCATACTGATTCCCGTTTCTGTCACCGACACTGCATTCTTGTACCTCAAACGGAGGACAAGCTAAAGAAGTAGCCCAGAGAAACAAGTAGGTACAGTTACTCTGTTCAGTAATAAAGATGGGCCCTTCCTCGATGCCGTTGGTAGAGTGGTCACAAACGAAGGTTATAATAGATGTCCTTTCGTACTTCCGATGACAATTGTCTTTGCCTCCTTTATATATTAGTTGTAGTGCTCCATCTTGAAGGATCAGGTTGCCATTTGATTTTCCTGTGTGAATGAAAAAAAAAATCAAAACTTTTTACACTAACACCTCAATCAACAACATGAAACAAATTTACAAAGCAGTAAACTAGGACTGGATATTTCACAGCACAATCCCAATTCTTGATGTTGCTTTAGGTAAATATTTTTAGAGAACCCTTCCTTTATACACATGTATGAAACGTATATATACACACAATCCGTTCCCAAAATGTTTTAGGTTTAGTTACTTGATCAAATTTCAGAAGTAGTAAATGGGGCTAAAGCAATTGTGTAAAAAACATCACTACTTTTTGCGGTCTTTAGAAAAGACCGATCAGATACCGTTGATATCTGGGATGTGTTTGACGAGCATTAGTTGATTTTTACAGAGGGAGAGAGGGAAAGATTGTTCTGTAACAGATAAGTCGTTTGGTTACCACTTTGACCTCAGTCCCTTGAGAAAATCGGGTGGTTACAGTGTAAATGGAGGAGAACATACTTACTTAATCAACGTCTGTGGCCATGTTAATATGGATTCTGAAGAGTGCCAGGATGCAGGTGTGTGTCAGACCAAAGGCTCAATGATTGTTAATGCAGGTAAGATGTAATTTTTCTTGATAAACATTAACAACTTAATTGAAAGATTGGTAAGCGAGTTGTGTGAGATAAATGTTAAATAGGGGAGGAAATTTGAAAAGATAATTTTGATATGTGTGTGTGTGTGACAAGCCTCTCACTTTATAAAGTAACAATTATCAAATATTAAAATTCAAGTTACTTGTTTAAGTATAAAAATTAAAACACTCAAATGAACGACATTTTTTTTTAAGTACACCATCAACAATCTCAAAATGTCATCCTCGGGAGAGACTTGACATCAAAACGTAGTATTATAATAATATTTTTCTAAATTATGGACGTTAATAATTTGAGTGTTTTAATTATTTAACAGCTATTACATAATGGACTGTGTATCAAGGGTAATCACACCTAAGATTTATATTAAGAATGTAATGGTTTCAAAGACTGAATTGAACCTCATATTTGTACAGAAGTTGTCTTTAATTTCTTACATATTGTTTACTTTATGATTATATACCCGAGAACTATGGTTTTGTTTTTAAACCAAGGTCTCCAAAAAAGTCATAAACAAATCAAAAATTTACGCCCCCCCCCCCACCTTTCATTACACACATTTATGATCTCCTAATATAATACATCATGCCCATGAAACTGTAGTGCCCAATTTCATATTCTAAGCCCCGGATGTCATTATTTCATGATACTCTCTCTCTCTGTCCAGTCATTTTCTAAAACTTGAAATTCCTTTGTACAAATCTCTCTGTACACCAATGTCTTCTTAATTACTTAACGAACACTGCTGAACCACTCCTGTATTTAATAAGACAGTCAATCTTGAATACCGTGATTCACCTTAAAAAAAGTATCTTCATTATCGTGTGAAAACAATTATAATCACAGTACATTATCAAACAAATTAGTTAAATTAAGTTGAAAAATTTGACATAAGTAAATATTAGCTACATGACAAACCTTGACTGGGCAAGCAGCTGGTGTTTCAAAGGAAAACGTATACTGACACTCTGAAGATTTTGCATAAAGCAGGAGTTCATTCTTCACGGAAGAAAGGAAAAAAGAAGTGTCATTATAAATTTATTTTTTTTTACCTTTAAAGCTAATATACAACACACTATTTTATGATTTTAATATATAATTTATCATCATATCAAGCAAAGTAATTCCTCTTCCTTCTCAAAAAAGAAGTATTTGTTGAGAGGGATCGTTATCAATCTAAACTTACAAGACCACCAAAAAAAGACCATTAGTTACGCTAAATCAGTTCATTTTCTCTTAGTTAAACAGTTATAACTAACTAAATAGATACAAGTGTAAACATTGTAAGAAACGAATGAAAATACGAATAAGTGGATGCTTAAAATATTGCAAAATAAATTTTATAAATGTAGTAACATTTACATATATGCCAAAAGCAAATAATGTCCTACTGTATTAGTATAGAAAAAAGAAAAAATGTTTGTACTGATACTTACTTATTGTTCTTCGTTTATCAGTTACTACTTTGCAGAGTCTAAACAATACTGTTACTTCCTGTATGTTGATGTTTTCTTTCATTTGGCATTAAGTGCCAAAAAATTCTTAAAAACTATACAACCACTTTTTTCCCCCAAAATATTTCCCAATCAATACACATTATATTGCTGTGATATAAATCACATATAAATCACTTATCCTGAACATAATTTTTTTTTTGCAAATTTTTATAAAAGCAGACAAATCTAAGATAAAAAAAAAAATCCTACGAAAATTTTCAAA